TAATCCGTGCGGCATATGCCAAGGACGATCAGTGTGTAGCTTTGCTACGTGCTCTTGGGAGCGATGAGTTTAAAGACTCGGACATAGAATTGTCGGCACGTTTACGTGCGAGGCTACATCGATATTCCATCGATAATGGCCTGTTGTGCTATCGCACGGATATTGAGGATAAGCCTCGTATCGCTGTACCTCATGATGAGGAATTAAAGTATCGAATCCTCTATGAGGCACATGATACTGCTTTAAGTGGTCATTTCGGTCGTGAGAAGACTTATAGCTTGGTGAGCCAAAGTTATTGGTGGCCCAAACTTTATAAGTGGGTGCGCACCTATGTGCGTACGTGCGAAACGTGTCAACGGGTAAAACCCTCGGCACACGCTGGCTAGTTTGCCAGTACCCACTGGTTGTTGGGAGTCCATGAGCATGGATTTTGTTTTGAGCCTACCGAAAGATTCGGAAGGCAACACTAGTATTGTGGTCTTCGTTGACCGATTAAGCAAGATGGCTCACTTCGCGGCTGTGCCGGATAGCATCGATGCTGAGGGTACAGCAAAGCTGTTTATCGACCGTGTGTTTCGCCAACATGGCTTGCCGGTGGCAATTATCTCTGATAGAGACCTCCCGCTTCACTGGGAAGTTTTGGAAGTCTATCTTCAAGGTGCTTGGCACTCGGTTGGACATGTCCACAGCGGATCATCCGCAGACCGACGGTCAGACTGAGCGTGTAAACCGCGTCATCAACGACATTTTGCGCAGTATTTGCGCTGATACGCCTAGGCGTTGGAGCTCAATGCTCCCTGTTGTTAAGTTTGCATTGAATAACGCGGTGCATGCCTCAACAGGCTTTACTCCGCTCTATATAAACGGTCTCACTCACCCTCGCGTTCCGTTAACGCTATCACTATGTGATTCAGGGCTTAGTGGGGGAGAGATAGCCGAAGGCTTGGCTGATATCAGCCCTGCTACTGTTCAAAAACAGGTAAGCGAGTTTCTCGCAACGCGATTAAATGTCTTAAGACATGTGCGTGACGCAATGGCTGATAGCCAAGATACCCAAAAAAAAACAAGCAGATGCCAAAGGCAGAAATTGTATTGAACATTATGAGTTCGGAGACCAAGTACTACTCAATGCTAAAAATCTACCTACAAATGTAGTGTCTGCTGTCTTTAAGACAAAGTTGCGTCCACGCTTTATTGGACCTTTTAAGGTCACGGCCAAGAAGGGACTTGCGTATACGATAAACCTCCCGCGCAAATTGCGCACACATCCAGTGTTCTACGTAGGCTTACTTAAGCCGTACCGGGATCCTTCCCATGTGAACTTGGAGGCGCGTGCGCCGACGACAAGGGCACTGCCCCGGATTGCTGTAGACGAATCAGCAAGTCCAACTGAGCCTCGCTCCGAGTTTGAGCTTGCTCCATCGCCTGAAGGCGGCTTTGCATCGCATCCAGCATGCACTGGGACTTACCCAAGGCCTCTTGAAGACCCTTCACTTCGAGAACCAATTTCTCGTGGGCCTCCACCGGTACACCGGCCGCCACCGACTTTGCTCGATGAGCATGGGTGTCGTCAATTTCATGTCGAGAGACTGCTGAAACGACGTCGTCGTCAGGGCCAATACCAGTATCTGGTAAAGCGGCGTGGGTACCCTGAGTCTGAAAACTCATGGGAATTTGAGGTACCCCTTCGGCAAGACTGCCCATATGCTTTGGAGGCTTTTGAGCATCGTGGCCACGGTCTTCTCGAGGCCGAGGCCGTTCCCCACCACTAGTGGTGCGGGTTGGCGGGTTGTTGGCCACAGACTGACCAGCACTCGCGGCTACCTTAGTAGCCAAAGCATAGCGCGTGCGCTTGCGCAATTGGCCTCTGGCCTTAAGCTTGGCATAATCATACCGAAGCTTGCGTTCAAGACGCACGTCAGCCACATTGGCACTAGCCCTTAGAGCAAAAATGTTGCTGAGGCGACGCACATAGTGCACCCAGTGAACAAAGGCATCATCTTCTTCGCTCACTGTTTCGCCTGCGAGCAGGAGAATGGGTATACCCTTGATCGGTGGAACCGGTGCACCACGTGCTTGCATGTCAAGGCGTGCCTTGTATTGACTTTGAGTCGTTAGGTGCGGCTCCAGGTACCTCTCACGAAGTGCCTGGCAGCTCACCACCTCCTCAGGAGTCTTAGGCCCATGGCCAATGACCCACGTTGCCAATGTTTGGCCGGCCGCTTGACGTAGACGTTCCTCCACACTGGGTGGGGTGAACACATAGTCACGCTGGCATTCAAGGGTTGCAGCCATTTGTACATAACGCTGAGCGTTTTCTTCTCTTTGAACAAGCAGTTGTTGTTGCTCATCGAGCGGGTTCGTGATGGTAGTCTCATCAGACCCAGATGCTGCACGCTGTGCTGGTGGCTCTCTCGCGCCTCCACGTTCAGCGAACGGATTTGGGGTGTTCGAAAGTTGTGCCTCAGGCATCAGTGAGCCGGACATTGTCCCTGTATCACCGCGGACACTGGTATCGCTACCATAGTCCACCTCCTCCTCTATCCCGAGGTAGTCACACATAGCCTTTGACTCGTTTGGTGATGAGGACATCGTGCTGGAGCGTACGTTACCGTGAGGTTCACCGTACGCGCACTGTTCTCGCTGAGAACACAAGTTCGATTGATGTTTTGGCAAACGTCAGTCTGGTGGGGGAGGGTGTAACGGGGTTGCACGAAATTATGGTACTTTGTACCAGAGGTGTTACACACCTGAGGGTACCCTTCTGTGAAGGTGATATAGAATATCTTATCGGTTTGTAGGGGCTGACGAGTGTCAGCCATTAGATACGAAAGATCTTTGAGTAGGATTAAGATATTCTATAGGCTTTAACAAAAATAAAATCAGTTCCCATTTTGATTTGAAAGACACGTGGCTTGCAAGCCGTCTTGATCGTTGATCTCTGATCACTAAGAGTTAGCAACACCTCCTTGAGGTAGCTACTCTTGAGCACTAAGTGCTGTCGATTCACTGAATCGTTAGGTCCCCTGGAACAGGGATCTAACGCTGTAAAGCTTGTTGACTCGTAAAGTCGTTAGTTCTTTAGAACCAAGTTGCTCGTAGAGCGTTAAGTCATCCTCTGACTTAAGGAGCTGTGAAGCTCCGCTACACTAGGTAGCACTAGTAGTCAATCTACGCCTGAGTCTTTAAGACTGATCCTCTGTGAGGACGGAAAACTCCACTCCTCTATCTGGGGCCCAAAAGGTCGCGCTTGACAATCTGACCGCATCTTTGGTTCCAGAGTACGTGGAGCTCCTTGTTTCACAAGGTCCTGAAGTGCTTAATGCACGTGTTGAAAGCTTCATGCAGTATGAAACAACCCTTTTAGGGCAGGTCCAAGACCAAATAGCGTCGGATATGCCTACACGCTACGTGTCTGTACCAGACGAAGAGGCTAGGCCTCGTCCACTTAGCGTGGAAGTGAAAAACTACTCCGGTAAGGAGGGTGAGAACCTCATCCTCTGGATCCGTAAGATTGAGATGGCCATGAGATCAGGCCTGATCACGCATGACCCTCAACAGGTCTCGCTGGCTATCTCGAAGCTCGATGGTAGAGCTAGAGAATGGGCCTTGACGTGTAGCACGTCGGTGGACATAGCGTTTCCCACATGGGAGTCGCTCAAGTCACAATTGGTACAGGTGTTCTCTCCACCCAACCAGGCTAACCGCGTGCGTTCACGCTTTCTTTCTACCCGCCAGGGTAAGAATGAATTATCGGACTATGTCCAAGAGCTGCGAACGATCATGGCTGCAATGCAGTCTGACCCTCTGCCTGAAGCAGTCCATGTGACTATCTTCATGGAAGGTCTACGTACTGGCATTGCCATAACCGAGGTTTTTCGGGTTCACCCCTCTACGTTTGAAGAGGCCGTGAGAATTGCTCTCAATGCTGAGCATAACTTCAAGTCGGCCAGACTTGGTTGGGATGGATACAATCCTCGCTCTGGGAGAGCAAACTTTTCGGGTACCACTGCCTATAATAAGCCGGAACCGATGGATCTCAGCTATGCTGAAGACGGAGGTGAAGCTGAGCTTCAAGCTGCTGAGCAGCAACACGTCGTACGACGATGTTTTACGTGCGGAAGCACTAAAAACTCGCGGCCTGGTTGCCATTTGCGTAAGCAACGCCAGGCTACAAGTCAACACTCGACCCCGAGTCATAAGTCTGGCATGGCGCAGGGACACACCCAGTAGGCGGGGCGCCCTACTGGGGAAGAACTAGGTTCTGTTACACCTTTAGAAGGTAAAGGAATGCAGGGCTTAGCAACAAAGAGTACCATACCTACAGGTATGGTGCGTGGATACAATTCTGGCTTGTTGGTCGCCGAGGCGAAAATTAAGGGCTTCGAGAAGCCTTGGTCAAAATTGATCGATTCTGGAGCGTCTTGCAATTGTGCTCGACGCCGTTCTCTTAAGGGAAGCCAGCGTTTTGCTGAGGCGCTTACAGCGCATGAGGGTGATTCTATCACGATTCTTACAAAGACTGGAAGTCGCGTAACTGTGCCTAAAGTTCCATTGAACTTAGGCATAAAGTTTTTAGACTTTGACAGTATTGAGCGCTGTCTTGTCCTAGATTGGGACTCGAGATATTATCTCATACTTGGTTCGGCTTGGCTTTAACACCATGAGACATGGATTAATAATAGGTCTAATACCTTAGGCACCACGTGCATCGATCCTAGCGAAGTTTTGGAGAGTCATGAACCCAGTTTCGCTAGGCAACAGAAGCGCGCTATTGGCGCGAGCCTTTGACAGAAGATGTTAATGTGCTGGATACTGGAATGTCTGAGTTATCTAACTCCAATGTTACAAACATAAGTTTCGAGCCTACCTCGTCCAAAACTAGTGAAACAGCACGTACTCCGTTGAGTGTTACCCGTTGTGATAACGAGTGATTGCATGCTGAATGCATGGTTGGCCTAGGGCCGAGTGATCAACGATGTGATTTCTTTGATGTGTGTATGGTGGCACGCGAAACTACACCGAGTGTGGTCGGCCGTGAGAGCACCGCACTGAATGTAGGTAATGACATTGTTGGCGATTCGCCATATAGTGTGGGCGGCCGTGAAGGCACCACGCTCAACGTCGGTAATGGCGTTGTTGGCGATTCGCCATATAGTGTGGGCGGCCGTGAGGGCACCACACCTAATGTCAGTAATGATTTTGTTGGCGATACGCCGTATAGTGTGGACGGCCGTGAGGGCACCACGCTTAACGCCGGTAATGGCGCTGTTGGCGATACGCCGTACAGTGTGGACGGACGTGAGGGCACCACACCTAATGTCGGTAATGACATTATTGGCGAGACGCCTTTATATTTGGGGCTAGGCCGTACAATACACGTGGAGTGGCACGTTTGAATCCATTGGGTGAAGTGTTCGAGTTATGTTACACTTCACCGGATGTTGGTGAAGACTTAAGATCTCGTATAGAGCGTACTATGGTTGGTAGTAACCATGGGGACAATATTGTCCTGACCCCTAAGGGATGTAAGGTCCCGAAGAGACGATCGAGATACCGGGTAGCAACTGTAAAGCGCCAGGCGTCCTCACATTCACACAGTGATAATAGTAATACACTTTATACACTTGTTAATGGAGTGACTGGTCAGGTTGATGGCAGTGTTTGCCTTCAAACCCTTCCATCTTTGGACGCTCTTTGTGAGCTAGACGAAATGTCTGATGGCGAGTTTAGTTAGGCCTTGAAGGCCGGAGAGTTATCTGAGTTAGCGGTCATTAGACCTGATACTGAGTTGAATTCTTCCTCGTTAATGGATGAGTCTGTCCTATAGGATACAAAGGCGGCACTTAGTGCACGAAGTGGATCTTCGATCCTTAAAGATCCTTTGGATCCGTTCTATCCTTTAGTTAAGGAATTTTAATATGTGGTGTGTCACGACCCACCTTCTGCCTTACCTCCCGATAGAGGTGTACGTCATGAGATTGACTTAGTTCCTGGAACTAAATACTGTGTAACACGGCAGTGGTCTTTGCCTAAAGAACAGAGTGACGTTATTGAAGAATTCATTCGTGCTAAGCACGCAGCTGGAATGGTTCGTGAGAGCAAGTATCCCCATTCAACACCGACATTTTGTGTCAAAAAGCCAAATGGCAAGTGGCGTATTGTGCTTGCTTATAATAAGCTTAATGCAGCCACTATACCGGCGCAGATGCCTATTACTAGAAAGGATGTGCTTCAGAACAATATGGCAGGATGTACATTGTACAGTGCACTCGACTGGGCGATGGTTTTACCAACTGCTTATGCGAGCAAGTGATATTCCGCTAACAGCGGTGAGTACTCCGAGCGGTATGCTCTAGGAGTGGCTTGTTATGCCACAAGGGCTATCTAACGACCCGGCTACGTTTAACCGGATGGTAACGCAACTATTTAGACCTCATCAAGGCTATGCACAAACGTATTTTAATGACATTTTTGTCCATAGTCGTGCAATGAATGGGCGATCAGATGTGGATAACCACATTGATCATTTACGAGCTGTGCTCGAGTGTATGCGAACAAATAAGTTGTATGCTAACGCATCGAAGTGCAGCTTTGGTGCAGAAGAGATTCCCTTTCTAGGGTGCTTCATTGGGAAGCGAGGCATTCGAGCGGATCCCGCTAAGGTGAAAGCCATAGTCGATTGGCCGGTTCCCAAGAACCAAAAGGACTTGCGTAAGTGGCTTGGCCTTGCCAATTACTTACATAAGTACAGTGCGAATTACGCAGAAGTGGCTCGGCCATTGTCCAATCTCCTTAAAAAGGATGTGGATTAGTGTTGGGGTAACACAGAACATGAAGCTTTGAAGCCGTTAAGGAATCTCCTTAACGGCTTTGCCCGATTCTGGTCGGCCTTTCAGTGTCGTCTGTGACGCATCTGACGTTGCCATAGGCAGTGCTCTGTTACAAACAGATGTCGACGGACGCGAACGCGTCATCGCATTCGAGTGTAGGCAGCTGAAAGCTGCTGAAAAGAACTATCCTGTTCATGACAAAGAGCTACTTGCTATGAAGTACGCTCTTGTCAAATTCAGAGTATATCTGCTTGGCTTCAAGCCGTTTGTAATCTATACAGATCATGCGTCATTACGCACTGCGACACAGTCGCCTCATCTCTCACAGAAAATGGCTCGTTGGCTTTCCTTCTTTGCCGAATACAACTTCGAGGTGAAGTACAAGCCAGGTAAGCCAAATGCTTTGGCTGATGCGCTATCGCGTCGACCTGACTATGAGCTTGCTCATGTTACGACTCTGTCGTCGTCAGTCCCTGACTTAATCCGTGTGGCACATGCCAAGGATGATCAGTGTGTAGCTTTGCTACGTGCTGTTGGGAGCAATGAGTTTAAGTACTCGGACATCGAGTTGTCGGCACGTTTAAGTGCGAGGCTACATCGACATTCCATCGATAATGGCCTGTTGTGCTATCGCACGGATATTGAGGACAACCCTCGTATCGCTGTACCTCATGATGAGAAATTTAAGTATCGAATCCTCTATGAGGCACATGATACTGCTTTAAGTGATCATCTCGGTCGTGAGAAGACTTATAGATCGGTGAGCCAAAGTTATTGGTGGCCCAAACTTTATAAGTGGGGGAGCACCTATGTGCGCACGTGCGAATCGTGTCAACGGGTTAAATCCTTGGCACATGCGCAGGCGCCGCTGGCTAGTTTGCCAGTACCCACTGGTTGTTAGGAGCATGGATTTTGGGTTTGGCCTACCGAACGATTCGGAAGGCAACACTGGTATTGAGGCCTTTGTTGACCGATTAAGCAAGATGGCTCACTTAGCGGCTGTGCTGGATAGCATCGATGCTAAAGGTGCAAAAAAGCTGTTTATCGACCGTGCCTTTCGCCAACATGGCTTGCCGGAGGCAACTATCTCTGATAGAGACCTTCGCTTCACTAAGAAGTTTGAAAGTCTATCTTCAATGTGCTTGGCACTCGGTTGGACAAATCCACGGCGAACAATTCGCAGACCGATGATCAAAGTGAGCGTGTTAATCGCACCATCAACGACATTTTGCGCAGCATTTGCGCTGATACGCCTAGGCGTTGGAGCTCAATGCTCCCTGTTGTTGAGTTTGCGTGGAACAACGCTGTTCATGCCTCAACAGACTTAACTCCATTTTAAATTAACGGTCTCACTCACCCTCGCGTTCCGTTTATCGCTATCACTACGTGAATCAGGGCTTGGTGGGGGAGAGGTTGCCGATCGGCTTGCTGATATCAGCCCTGCTACTGTTCAAAAACAGGTAAGCGAGTTTCTCGCAACGCGATTAAATGTCTTAAGACATGTGCGTGACGCAATGGCTGTTAGCCGAGATACCCAAAAAAAAACAAGCTGATGCCAAAGGCAGAAAGTGTTTTGAACGTTAGGAGGTCGGAGACCAACTACTACTCAATGCTTAAAATCTACCTACAAATGTAGTGTCTGCTGTCTCTAAGACTAAGTTGCGTCTACGCTTTATTGGACCGTTAACGGTCACGGCCAAAAAGGTAATTGCGCATACGCTAAACCTCCCGCGCAAATTGCGCACACATAAAGTGTTCTACGTAGGCTTACTTAAGCCTTACCGGGATCCTTCCCATGTGAACTTGGAGGCGCTTGCGCCGACGACAAGGACGCTGCCCCGGATTGCTGTAGACGAATCAGCAAGTCACTTCCAGTGTAACAGAAGTCCATTAGTTCTGGACCTTTGCTTTTCTGGCATTCTGGTAAATAATAGGAGCTCGAAGTTTACGAGTATGTTTCACGCTAAATAAGACTTTTCTGCATCCCTGATTGCCTCTTCAAGGGTATCAAATCCAACTTTAGACAAATAGGTCTCTGGAGGACAGTCTCTGGAGGACAGTCTCCGAGCTTCCTGATAAACGATCTATTCTATGTATGTTCATTCAGCGTGATTGCCGTTATGCGACTTATAAGAAGACGTACGTTAAACATGCATGGATTTTTCATTACTATTTCCTAGTATAAGTTTCAGGAGACTTTATCAACCCCGAACTCAGCTCGAGGTGATGCGAACCTTTGTCTGAGGAAAATTTTGTAGATTTCTTACGAATGGATCGTGTATTGTGAGGTCCAATGCTCAAGTATTCTCCCATCCTGCCAATTTTCGATGAGTAAATGTTATTTGGCCATTCTTATGAAAGATGCAACTAATAAATTTGACATCGTCTAGCTTTACAACACATGTCAACCGGGAGTCTTCTCTAGCTCTTTTCTACTTAGTGATCTCTTTAGTTCTGTGTTTTGGGGTGGCGCGTGCGTCTCAACCTAGTAGCAGCATCCTGCTGCTGTCTCGACACTCAGATATTTTTATAAATAGATTAATTTAGCAAGATTATCTCTATCCTTTTAGTATTATGGTTATTCTGAATGAATTTGGAAATAGTGGAAATTTGTCTGTGAAAATTTAGTTTAGACAAAATTTTGCCAACGGTTTCTTGCCCTATCGTCGAGCTTAACATTTGACAGTATCCCACTCAATTTGAATCAAACGGGTGTAGATATCATGTGCGAAGTCGTTCTCTACATCTATTAAGTTGTTTATGGTCTCGGACAATCCACAATGTGCTACCAGATGTAGAGGGGACCCGGTTGCTTGTATTGTTACAGTACAAGCTACTTTCACTGAACCTTGAGTAAGCGGCTGTTATAAATTTCAGAGACACGTACGCGCACAGAAAAGGTTGCGGTACGAAGCAGTGTTACTACAAAAGGTTTAATATAAAACCGTATCTATTATAGTTATCCACCTGATTTAAGCCAATAAATTATCTCTTTTCAAATATAGATGAACGCAAACATGCATTATAAATATGTGCTCGCCACTCAATGCGGTCTTCTGTTGTGAATCAGCATCATTGGTGAATAACATTGTCCTTTTTTACATTATTGAACAGTGTATTGTTTTTGTTCTTTAAAAACACCTATTTAAGCTGTTTTTACCGCTAGTTTTGATTCTTGAAAATAACGCATAGTACTTAGAGAAAATGCAGCTTCAATTTACCCATCGAGGGACTCGTAATTGCCAGGTATATCAAATAAAAGAATGAAAAGGTATGATTGAGACACCACCTTTCTCTTAATAAAAAAATACGAAAGAGCTAGGCTTGAGCACCTGATACTGTCGATCTGGACTTTTTTATAGCGACGATTTAATCTTTATACACCGGAGCGTATCGAGCAAAAACTTCAGTCTTATTGGGTTTCAATTTCGACTAAAGCAGGAGTCTTACCGATATGCTACGCAGTAATTAACGCATTATTGGTTGCAGCAATCCAATTAAATCTTTTTGCAAGCCTCGGATCTGACTTGGTGCTTGCTATTGATGTATAACGAAACAAAACACTG